TGCTTTTTTAATTTTCTCTTTATGAAAGTTCATTATTGGTGTATAAAAATGCCATAAATTTATGGGGTGTTGATTTTGTTTTGTGCTGCATTGCCAAATTCACTTATTTAATCTAGTAGTTTTTTGGTGGAGGTTTTTTTTTTTTTTTGTACGATATCAAATAATCTGCAAATAATGACAGTTTTACTCCTCCTTTCCATTTTGGATGCTTTTTAATTTCTTGTCTGATCACTGTGGCCAGGACTTCCAGCACTATGTTGAATAAGGATAGTGAAAGCAGACATCCCTGTCTTGTTCCTGCTCTTAGAGGAAATGGTTTTAGTTTTTGCCCATTGAGTATGATGTTGGCTCTAGGTTTGTCATATATGACCTTTATTATGTTGAGATATGATCTATCTATTTCCACTTTGCTGAGAATTTTTACAAAAAATGTGTGTTTGATTTTATTGAATGCTTTTTCTGCATCAATTTATATGATCTTATAATTTTTGTCTTCCAATTTGTTTACATGATGTATCACATTTATTGATTTGTGAATGCTGTACCAGCCTTGCATCTCCAGAATAAATTCCACTTGGTCATGGTGTATGATCATTTTTATTTTTAATATATATTGTATTGATTTCAGAGAGCAAGGGAGAGAGCAATGGAAATATCAATGATGAGAGAGAAACATTGATTGGCTGCCTCCTGCATGACCCCATTGGAGATCAAGCCCACAACCTGGGCATATGCCCTGGACTGGAATCAAACCTGGGACCCTTCAGTCTGTCGGCTGATGTTCCATCCACTGAGCCAAATCAGCCAGGGCTTTGATCTTTTTAAGGTATTGCTGAATTCAATTTGCTAATATTTTGTTGAGGATTTTAGCATCTATGTTCATTAGATATATTGGCCTGCAATTATCTTTATTTGTAGTGTCTTTATCTAGTTTTGGAATTAGGCTAATTGTAGCCTTATTAAAAGAGCTTGCAAGTGCTCCTTTCTCTTGGATATTTTGGAATAGTTTGAGGAGTATAGGTGTTAGTTCTTCTTTGAATGTTTGATGTACTTCCCCTATGAAGCTTTCCAGGCCAGGGCTTTTGTTTGCTGGGAGTTTTTTGATTACTGTTTCAATTTCATCAGTTGTTATGGGCCTATTCAGGTTTTCTGAATCTTCCAGATTGAGTTTTGAAAAATTGTATTTTTCTATGGATATGTCTATTTCATTCAGATTGCTCAGCTTGTTTTGGAATATAGTATTTTTTATGATCCTTTGTTGGTCTGCCTGAGCTCTCCTAACCATGCTCTGTGGAATTGTCAGGGAGATGGACCTAAAATACAAAGCTGGTATTGTCACCCTTAGAATAGCCACACAGCCTTCAATGTCCTACATGGACTATATGACATTTTACAATCTAACCCCTTCTCTGGCCCTTTACCAGCAATGTCCAACGACTCAGTTTCTTGAAAAGGCAATGCTTTTTTATACTTTTGTATTTTGCAGTCTCTTCCATCTGCCCTCGACTTTGTGCCTGTCCTGTTCATTCTTCAAGGACAGTTCTACCCTACGCAGTCAGGTGTGAAGACTTCCTCAGCATTCCCAACAAAGTTAGTCACCACCCTGAAGTGTGCTGTTAGCTCTTTGCCCAGACCTCTGCTGGTGCGTTGGTCTACAGCACCCTAACAGCCTGTCTCCAGGGGTCTCCCTCCTGGAGAATGAGCTCTCTTTAAAGGCAGAGGCCATGTCAGGTGTACCAGGAGAATTGTTTAAGCAAATGTTTGTAGAAAGGAATGAAGGGGAGGAAGAGGTAAAACCATGATCATTTGCAGAGAATCAACTATTATTTTTGCTTGCCTCTGCATAGGACTTTTGCATGTTCTCTTGAAAATTCTGTTAGTGTGTGTATTTGTATGTGTGTATGTGTGTGCACGTACGCACGTTAAAATTAATGTTCCAGCCAGCACCGGTTTGGCTCAGTGGATAGAGCGTTGGCTTGCGGACTGAAGGGTCCCGGATTCGATTCCGGTCAAGGGCATGTACCTTGGTTGCGGGCACATCCCCAGTGGGGGGTGTGCAGGAGGCAGCTGGTTGATGACTCTCTCTCATCAATGTTTCTAACTCTCTATCCCTCTCTCTTCCTCTCTGTGAAAAATCAATAAAATATATTTTAAAAAATTAATGTTGCAACCTACCTTCCCCAACCCTACTTCTCATTAAATGTTTTACAGTTATTTTTTTTCTAGATCCTTCAATATACATGATAAAGAAATGTAAATATCTTGTGTGTGTTTTTTTTAAGTAAATATGGAATCACTAGAGGCCCAGTGCATGAAATTTGTGTTGTCCCTCAGCCAGCCTGCGCTCTCTCCAATCTGGGACCCCTTGAGGGATGTCCCAGCAGGATTGGGCCTAAACAGGCATTCAGACATCCCTATCACAATCCAGGACTGCTGGTTTCCAACCGCTCGCCTGCCTGCCTGCTTGATCACCTCCTAACTACTCCCCAGCCAGCCTGAATGATACCTAACTGCTCCCCTGCCAGCCCAATTGCCCTAACTGCCCTCCCCTGGTCACCCCTAACTGTCCTCCCCTGCAGGCCTGGTCCTTTCCTCTCCCCCCCCCACCAACTTGCTCCTCTGTAGGCCTGGTGTTCCCCCCCATCCAACTGCCCTCCCCTGCAGGCCTGGTTACCCTCAATTACCCTCTTCTGCAGGCCTGGTTACCCCCAACTATCCTTCTCTGCTGGCCTGGACATCCTAACTGCCCTCCCCTGCCAGCCTGATCACCTCCCAACTGCCCTTCCTTGCAGATCTGTTCCTTCCCAATTGCCTTCCTCTGCTGGACATATTATGGTGGCCATTTGTGTCAACATGAGGCAGCCATCTTTGACTACATGAGGATGGTCATCTTGTGTGTTAAAGTGCCGGTCAATTTGCATATTACCCTTTTATTCTATAAAGATAGAATATGATCCATATTTTTCTGTATTTACTCAATATATTATGGACAGACATAAAGATTTACCTCATGTTAAAAATTACTATCTCACATTTCATAATACATATGTGACATATTTTTAAACTTCTCATATATAGACAAGTACTTTTTTATTTTTTGACATTACCATATGCTCAATGTTGCTGTGATGTTTTCAATTCTCTGAATAACTTCAAAATTGTGATTCTGTCACTATGTATTATAGTGTCTACAAGAACTAATAGAGTGCTTTGCAGAAGCTGTGATAGCATTTGCATTGATTCCTGTTCTGTCCCTATTTCGTGTACTCTTAATTCCCTTGATTCTTTCTAGTCTTAGGGGCTGAAAAGGGACTTCCAGGATACTGGAATTTCACAGTGGCCCGCTAACAGAGTAGAATTATGCCAGTGGCATAAGAGCTCTCTAAGATGCTACCTTTTCTTTTACATATATCACCACTAGACTCCATATGCTTATGTGAATTATTTTTTTTCATCTTGCAGTGAGTTCTTTATTTGTAGAGCTGTGCTCTGAATGAAGAAGGTACGAAGAGGCCAAAAGAGATCCAGGAACAGCATTTCTACCAATTATTTGCCCTTTCTCTATAGACATTAAGCTACCAAGTAACCATTATTATATCTATATTTTAGAACATAAGGTATTTGTGACAAAAGAATGATTTACTTTGCAGTTAACTAGGGGAAATAGTTCTTTCTGAGGGTGTCCTAGCTGCTCACCACCTCAGTAAGTCATCTTCCCCTGGCTATTATCACCCTCTCCCTGAGCACAGGACTACTGCTACAGTAGGATGTCTCCCTTCCACAGTTGCCAGAAAGGAAACAAAAGGAGCAGCAGAGACTCAGCCACTGCTTTTAGGCCTGCCATGCTTTTTCCTTCAAGCCTGCCACATATTCTTTAGGCCTGTCCCATTTGGGGGCCATTACTTACATTTTGCTCCTACTGTCAATTGATTTTTTTTTTACTCTTCCTCTACAGGACTAAAATATATGCAAAAAAGCCAAGCAAAGGCAGTTTGACATCCATCCTAATATTGGGGGGGAAAAAAGAAAAAACAGAAACAGATATCATCTTTGTAAAGGTAAGGATCCTGGAATTTCATTTGGGGAAGAGAATGGTATCATCACAAAGACTTGGGGGCCCAGAACCCAATAGTGATTGTCATACCCCAAGCATTTTACAGAGGAAGAAATTGAGATTCAAGTGGAGTTAACTAATTATAACCATAAACCAGTGAATGGCAGGCAAAATTCAAACACATATAGTCTTTTTTTCCCTTTAATTAGTTTATTTTTTATGTATTGGAATGACCCTGGTTAATAACATTCTATAATTTTCAGGTGTACAAGATTATAATTTGATATCTTTGTACCCTGATGCATGCTCACTACTTGAAGTCTTTTTCTTCCATTACTATATGTTTGGCCCCCTTTACCCACTTTGTCCTCCGTCTACTCTTCTTCCCCTCTAGTAACCACCATTCTGTTGTCTGTATCAGTGAGTTTGATTTTGTTTGTTTTGCTAGTTTGTTTTATATTGCACATATGAGTGAAATTGTATGATTAGTGTCCTTCACTGTCTAACTTATTTTACTTAGCACAAAAATCTCAAGATTTATTCACATATTGCAAATGGCAATATTTCATATTGTATGGCTGTGTAAGATTCCATTGTAGAAATGTACCACATCTTCTTTATCCAATCATTAGTCCATGGACACTTAGGTTGTTTCCCTTATCTTGGCAATTGTAAATAATGCTGCAATGAACATAGTGGTGTATATATTTTAATGAATAAATGTTTTAATATTTTTCAGGTAAATATTCAAGGAGGCATTACTAGACCCTCTGGTAACTCTATTTCAATTTTTTTTTTTTTAGGAGATTACCTATTGCTTTCTATAGTGACTGCGCTAATTTACATTTCCACTAATTCTTTGCATCTCTGCAGTCGGGAGCCATTACTTACATTTTGCTCCTACTGCCAATTGATTTTTTTTTTACTCTCCCTCTACAGGACTAAAATGGATGCAAAAAAGCCAAACAAAGGCAGTTTTAAATCCTTCCCAACATTGAAATCAAAAAAGAAACCAAATCTCACCTTTGTAAAGGTAAGGATCCTGGAATTTCACTTGGGGAAGAGAGTGGTATCATCATGAAGACTTGGGGACCCAGAACCCATATCCTTAACCACTCTATTCCATGCCTTTTGCTGAATAATGTCAACTCTGATAAATGTTGTATACAATTCCTTAATATATTTATATTAATCATAAGGAAAGTAAATTTTGTTGCAGTTCCAGTGACAAGAATTGTAAAAATTGAAATTAAAAATCACACTGAAGATAAATTCATTTATAGTTGTATTTTATGATAACTACTGGCAAATTGACAATATCACTTAAAATACCATTTGAACTTATAATTATTATCTTTACATTGGCAATTATTCTGATAGGCCTAAGTAAATGGCTTTTCATCATCTATTTATTTTCTCCCAATTGACTTATCATCCAATGAATTGAATAGGCTTAAGTAAGGAAATGCAAACAAGTCAATAACTGTCCTCAGAACATAAAAGCTAGAGTTTCAGTTCTCATTATATTAATGAGAATGAAAAGAATGAATTACAACCTTTTCACCTAAAACAATAGTGAAGATGAGCAAGTTATGAATCTCAGCATATCAACTGCCCTAAGCAGGTGTTGAAATGTTTTGATATTTAAATAAATTAATAATAATTTATATTTATTTCATGATACTTAATATGTTATAAATATGTTTATAATAACTAAATAGTTCTATATTAGTCTTGGTAGTATTTCAGCTAAGGGAATTTATTAAATGTGATTGTTTAATAATTTCACCTAGCTTTAAGACAACATGTCTTAATATAGTATTCAGTAATATATGATTATTAATATTTGTAATAGTAACATAATTATATTATTAATAAGGGCCCAGCGCATGAATTTGTGCACCTTAAAAGGAACTGTGTGTCATGAGGCTATAGTGGGCACAGGGGCGGGTGTTGGCCCATCTTCCATGCCCCCACCCGGCCAGCCCTCTGCAGCCTTGAGTTCCCTGTCTGCCAGTAACCCCGCTCCCGCCACTGCTGCTCCCATGTGCTGACTGAGGGTGCAGAGCAATTTGGGCCAGCACCAGCAGTAGGTGTGAGTGGGGTGGGTGTGAGTGGCAGATGTGGCCCCAATTGCCCCTCAGGAGCAGGGTGAGTGGAGAATCCCTGAGAAATTATTGGGGCTGGCAGCTGCCGCTTGCACCTGCTGACAGCGCAGAGCAATCAGGCCCAGCGCCACGTACTGGCAGCAGGTGCAAGTGCCAGGCAGGATCGTGGCACACAGGAGCAAAGAATTTTCAGTAACCTCTAGAGGCTAACCCCAATGACAGTGATTGGCACCCTGCCTTGTTCTGGCACTCCCGCTCACCTGCTCCACCATCAAACCGCAGACAAAGATCGCCATGTCCCATACTCTGTCACCTGCTGCCGATGCCCACCATGTTCCATGTGCACCCCCTGGTGGTCAGCACATGTCATAGCAACCAGTTTTTAAGTTGTTCTGTTGTTTCGCCATTTGGTCTATTTGCATGTTAGGGTTTTATATATATATTAGAGGCCCGGTGCACAAAATTTGTGCACAGGGCAGGGGGGGGGTGTCCCTCAGGCCAGCCTACACCCTCTCCAATCTGGGACCCATTGAGGGATGTCCGACTGCCTGTTTAGGCCCAATCCCCATAGGACATCCCTCATAATTGAGGACTGGTGGCTCCCAACTGCTCACCTGCCTCCCTTCCTGATTGTCCCTAACAGCTCTGCCTGCCAGCCTGATCACCCCCTAACCACTCCCATGCCAGCCTGATTGATATCTAATTGCTCGCCTGCCAGCCTGTTTGCCCTCAAACTGTTCGCCCCTAACTGCGCTCCCCTGAAGGGTTGATCATCCCCAACTGCCCTCCCTTGCAGTTCTGGTCCCTCTCAACTGCCCTCTCATGCAGGCATGGTTTCTCTCAACTGCCCTCTTCTGCTTGCATGATTGCCTACAACTGCCCTCTCTTGCAGGCCTGGGCCCTCCCAACTGCTCTCTCCTGCTGGCCACCTTGTGGTGGCCATCTTGTGTCCACATGGGGCAGGAACTTTGACCACATGGGGGCAGTCATCTTGTGTGTTGGAGTGATGGTCAATCTACATATTACTCTTTTATTAGATAGGATAGAGGCCTGGTGCATGGATGGGGGCCAGCTGATTTGCCCTGAAGGGTGTCCTGGATCAGGGGGAAGGTTCCATTGGGGTGTGGGTCGACCTGGGCAAGGGGCCTGTGGTGGTTTGCAGGTCAGCCACTCTCCCCGGCAACCCAAGCAGAAGCCCTGGTATCTGGAATTTATTTATCTTCTACCCTGTTTCCCTGAAAATAAGACAGTGTCTTATATTAATTTTTGCTCCCAAAGATACGCTAGGTCTTATTTTCAGAGGATGTCTTATTTTTCCATGAAGAAGAATACGGTACACATTTATTGTTAAATGAAAATAAAGGAAATTTATTATCTCTATACGGTATGGTAGTACAGTAGTTGCCAACACAAACCAGAAAAACTGAATCCTATAGTATCAAGAATTTACTCATTTATTCAATGACAATCATGTCATCATAACAATCCAATTCCTGAATTTCCTGGTGAATTTCTTGTGACTCCATTTCTTTCACAATCAGTGGACCAAATCTCTCATGTTTAGCAATAGCACTGTCTTTAAATGAGTACTTCTTGTCAAGGTAGCCTGCTCGCAGTGCATTTGCAATGCAACTGTCAGTGATTTTCTCCCATGAATTCTTCACCCAAGTCACAACTTCTTGCAGTTTAGGTTTCACAAAGTTTCCACGCTGATTTCTCTCCATTCTATTTTCAATGTAGTCATTAATTTCCATGCGCAAAATGTCTTTGAATGGCTTGCTTATTGCAATATCAAGAGTCTGGAGATAGGCCGTCAATCCTGCGGGAATCATTATCCGATCTATTTTTCTTTTGTGAAGAAATGTCTTCATGTCTTTAGTGCGGTGAGTGCTGGCTGCATCCCAGACTAGCAGACCTCTTTGGCTCCCTCGCATAACAAGCGGCAGCATTAAATCGACCCACTTCCTTATAACTGCTTGTGTGGCCCAGGCTTTTTTAGTTTCAAGAACAAAAATGCCCAAAACATGTTCAATCTTTTCCTTCTTGCCCTTAGAAATGATTAAAGGTGGGATTTTAGTGCCATCCAGACGAATTGCCAAAATACAGGAAACACATGCACTTTTGTAAGCAGTGGAGGGAATGTACCCCACTGTTCAATTGTTGTTTGAGATGATTGGCCCATAAACACTGCAGTTTCATCCATAGCAATCATGTTGGAAAGATTGTATTTAGAGAAGTCAGCATCATCAATAATGGACTTGAATGCAAGTGCTCGCTTAATAATTTGAGTATCTTCCAACCTAAACAATGTTGTATCGGTAGATCTTCTTAAAGACAGTTCACTTCACTGAAGGAAATTATCCAGCCAGTGTTGTGATGCTTTGAAGTCTTCGGGGGCTATGTCAAACTGTGGTGCCATTGCAAGGGCAAATTCTTGAATCTGAGCCCTATTCACAACCAAAGCCTTTGCTCTCCTGTCAACAACCCATTCACAGATCAGGTCTTCCAGCTCGGAAAATAATGGTTGCCGACCTGATCCACACTTGTGCTTTTTAGCATTTCCCTTTTCACTTGTTCAATGAGGTTACCATACTCTGCTCGCCATTTTTGGACCAATCGGATACTCAACATCTTCTCTTTGCAGAAAGCAGTAAGATTTTGGCCCTAAGAGTCTTCCACGATTCCTTTCTTGTACTCCACAGAGTAGTTTTTTCTTTTTGTGCTTATTTCTAGGGGTAAAGAAAAGGAATTGGGGTATCAAGGTGGGGGGCAGGGGATCACTTAAAATGACACAGGGGGGACCAAAGGGGTGAATCAAAATGGCACAGGAGAATCATAGGGGGGATTACCATTGTAGTAACCCCTTTTGATCCTCCTGTGTCATTTAGATTGCCCCCTCTGATCCTCCTGTGTCATTTTAAGTGATCCCCCTCCCCTCACCCCTGTGCCACTGGACACCTTCACCAGACATCCCCCCTACCCCTTTATCAGACATTTACCCCCTGGGACCTGCCTGGGGGCTGTCACTGGGCTTGCTGGGGCCTGGATCTGGGCTGGAACAGAGTCTGCCACTGACTGAGAACCTTCAGTCATCATGAGGGCGGCCTCGAGCATCAGGTGGTGTTACTAGAGACAGACCAGCACTCACCACCTTCACTGCGTCCCGTCTGCTCTAATCCTCCTGTTCTTCTACATGCATCTGCAAAAGTCTCCTCCTCTCTCCTGCCCCACGCTCACAGCTCACTCCGACCTTCTCTCCGCCTCCACACAGCAGTGAGATCAGGACTCCTCGTAATGTCACTGGTTGCTAGACGCCAGTCGGGGCAGCCCTAGCAACCAGTTTACAGTAAATTAATTTTCATTCTGAGACAGAGCCTAGGGGGGGTCTTATTTTCAGGGGGATGCCTTATATTTCACTCAGAAGGAAACCTGTAAGTAGGTCTCATTTTTGGAGGATGTCTTATTTTCAGGGAAACACTGTACAATTGGAACTTTGTAGCCTGGAGCAGAGCCAATTATCCTGCTCACTCTGTGTTGGCAGCCATTTATGTTGGAATTTATGTATCTTATATAATTGAAACTTTGTAGCCTGGAGTAAAGGCCTGAGCTGGCCAAAGCTGCAGAAACTTGGCTTCGTCCATCACCCGGGGCAAACCTAACCTCCTGTTCTTCCAGCTCTGTGGCTGTCGCCATTTCTGCTGAAATTTATTTACCTTCTATAATGGAGACTTTGTACCTTGAGTGGAGGTCTGAGCCCACCAGGGTGTGTGGAAAGCTTGGCTTCCTCCTTTGCCAGGGAAACCCAAGGCTCGCTCCTGCTCTCTGTGGCTGCAGCCATCTTGGTTGGAGTTAATTTGCATACTTGCTCTGATTAACTGATGGGCATGGCTGATGGGTGTAGCAGAGTGATGGTTAATTTGCATAT